ACGGCCAATCAAACACAATATGTATTACTAAATATCCCATCATTAAACCTGGTTTTACATCACTAAAGAGCATCTTAGGTGGGATAGTGCTGCACTATTAGGACAGTATATGTCAAGCATCAGCACAGTGTTAAGAGGAACAAACATCCGGCTAAAGCAAACAGAAAGAGTAACTAGAGTTTGAGTTTTCAGTAACATGCTAACATGTCATGTGTAAACCCGAAAAGCTTGTTTCTTCGAGACCTTGGAGGACTGAAGGCAAATATGTGCTGCATAAAACCGACCGAACAGAAGCCAATGTGGCACTTATAAATGTCATATCATGGTACTAAGATTTTTTTTTTTTCACATATAGTAATGTCTTTGGATATGTACCATGGTACTACTATAGTGTTTTGGACACAGTGCCATGGTAATATTGGAAATACCCTGGAATGTCATGTAAACACCATGGTAAAGAATGTCAGTACTGGTACTTTTTTATGAGACATTAATATCTCTCCACGTTCTCGCGACCCCCGGGCGTGTTTTATCGCTTATTTACATATTTTAACCATCAACGGAAAGCTGAAACAATACGTTACAAAGCTTGCATGTCAAAGAGACGCGATGTTATTGTTGTGTTACAAAGCTCCAAAAGCGGCGACTGCGAATCCACTTAAATCTACTGCTTCAGCCTGGTTTAATTTGAAAGAATGTCACAAATGTAGCAAGAACAGATAAAGTCTGAATGAGGAAAGCGCAAGACTCAAGAAATGCAAGCGATTAGGTTGTTTTAAACGTTTACAAATATGTGCGGCCAAGAAATGTAAACCACGCAGTTAAAACAAACAGAAAGTTGAACGCTCACTCACCTTTCTGAGGAACAACTCGCGATGGCCGATCAAGATTTCTGTTCGGAAACTGCCAGAGAGCGATCGCGATGAAAGCTTTACATCATTCGTCTTCCAAGTGGATCGCTGAAGCTAGTGGGGAGGGGGGAAGAGTATCCCTTGCGAAAAGCCGGGGAGGCAGTCCACTTTGCTAGGGAAATCCGAAGAAGTATGGGCGACGTTGGGAAACCAGCGTCGAAAACAATTCCAGGGCTTTTCCACGCCCTGTAGGCTGAGCTTCAGATACGCCGTCAGGTGCGCATGAAGTATGAATGTTCACGGGTACCTGTGTGAGTGCTGAAGGAGACCCGGTGAAGTAAAAGTCCCTACAGCTGATGTATGAGGACACAGGACTCATCTGGACCTGCCCGATTGACCAGAAGGAGCACTCGCGCGCTCTCTCACCCGTTCTCTCTCTCTCTCTCTCACACACTCACACACACACACACACACACTTTCAATTTCAGGATTTTATATGCATTTTTAAATGCAGTGACATAATAAAATAAAATAAATACAATATACAATATGATGGATATAAATTAAAATGTCATAGCATGCGTTGTTGCCAAAGCATCAATACACAAAAAGTCACATAACAAAATAAAGCAAAGTTAATCAATTAAAATGACGATTTAGTCAAATAAATGTCCAGGAATCATCTTCAAGGCTTCAATACAATGGCATTAAAAAATAAATAATTAAATTAAATTATACCAATAAGCTGCAAGTATTTTTTATAAAATAATAATTGCAATAATAATTAAAAAAAAACAGATAACATGTATTTGTATTTTATGGTATACATTGTTGACAAAGCATACGCTGTAAAAAAAAATCTGTGACATTTACGGTAAAATACCGGCAGCTGTGGTTGCCAGAACTTCACAGTAAAAAATATGGTAGCAACATTTTAGGTTTTACAGACTTAGCTTAAATTCACAATAAAATACCGTATTTCATTAACTGATGTATTGTTAATAAACCAAAATATTGAAGTACTAATATCTGTTTTGAACCATTGTAATGCACTGATAACCACCAAAAACTGGTGGTGATGAGAAAGTTACATGATGAACCAACGCTCATCACAAACAGATTTTATACGAGCTGAGGAGGGCAATACTTATATATAGAAGGTGCAAAGTGAAGTTCCACACTAAGTTCACTGTAAATTATACAACTTTTTCTTTTCACTTCCAAAAAACTTATTTTTAACAGTATTTTACTGTAAAATTATATTAAATGTAATTACATTTATTCACCGAATATAGTATGGAAACTTACTGTTAACCAGTTAACAGGTTTTTACTGTAGCATTTTTACAGTCTTTTACTGTTAAAATCTCAATCATTTTTTACAGTGTACACAATACACAAAAAGAGTTGCATGGTAAAATAAAATGTTACCAAATATACTAGTTTCAGAAAAGTTAATACATTGAAAAAAAAATGCATACAGTACAATTAAAAATGCATTCAAACTGTTTCTGACATTGTCAGTTTTTTTTTTCAAACTATATCTCTGTTATATTTACATTTGTTATATCTATCTTTACTTAATACTTCAATAACTTAATACTTTTTTATCTCTGATGGCGATGGGACGTTCTTCCAGATGATACTTTATGTTTAGACCCCGTAGATCCATCCTGCCTATTTCAGTCTTCAAAATTGTGCGAAAAAGCATTTTCCAGAGTGGAGGTAGGAATCAGAAAGAGTTCTTTGCGCTAACCTTTCTTCAGACACCATTGAGGCCTCCCACAGGCCCCCTGCTGTGAAGCCTGAGCTGGAATAAAATAATGATCTTTTCCTCTCCCATTTACAGTAAATCTGAGATTTGCGGTAATCTGACTCATGCTGTGACTGAGATTAAGGCCAAACCAATTGTAAATCATAATCAAAGGACAGAAATTGAGGATGGATGCAGAAAATTGTGTTGTGACAACATATTTAAGCCCACCTCTTTCATTATTGCATGTTTATGGCTGCTTTTTTGAAGATTAATGTTTGGCTGAGTAGGAGGAGGATTGACAATAATACATGTTTAGAATAATGACAGATATAATGACAAGTAATGTTTGCAAAAAAAAATAAATAAAACATATTGATTGTGGCTCACATGTAGTTTCTTCAGCTTCCAGCGACGATTCAAGTCTTTTCGAGATATTTTGAGGTACATATTTACTCCTAACAACTTGAGTCACACTGAAAAAAAACGGTTTCGTAACACATTCTTGTGGCACCCTCTACTGTTTGAAATCATAATATCAGCTCAAAATATATAACCTCGGGGGGGGATTTTGAGCTGTGCCCCACCACACCCCGAAAACCCATAAAGTACCGTTTAACGTCAGTAATATTCTCACCGTGTCCGTGTTCTGTTCAACAAGAAACAGACGTTATTTGCATCCGTCCGTAAGCAGCTGAATCTGGCACATCCAGAATGGTGGCAAAGACAGATGAGCAGAAACAGTTACGCTGTCAGTTGGCAGAGAAAGACAATATGCTGCGAGACAGCAAACAGAAGGAGTCGTGAAGAGGGAGGGAGGATAAACATGAACAAAATTGAGCTAGAGCGAGAAATTAAAGAAGTTTACAAAGAGAGACAGACAGCGAGGGAGAGAGACTGTTTATTTAATGGAGGTTAAAACACTCTTTCACTTGATGCTTGGGACGTGTAGAATACTTCCTGTCCTTTACTAACCACCTCAAAAAAAAAACTGCATGCTGAGTCAAGTGACAATACTGAGACCGAGTCAGCTGAAGCGTTACATGAAAGCTGAAGTAAAGCCTCATTCTCAGCTTAGTTACACTCTTAAAAAATAAAGGTGCTTCAAAAGGTTCTTCAAGCGATGCCATAGAAGAACCATTTTTGGTTCCACAAAGAACCATTCAGTCAAAGGTTCTTTAAAGAACCATCTCTTTCTTACCTTTTTATAATCTGAAGAACCTTGTTTCGCAACAAAGAACCTTGTGTGAAACAGAAAGATTCTTCAGATGTTAAAGGTTCTTTATGGAACCATTTAGACAAAAAGGTTCTTCTATGGCATCGTGAAGCACCTTTATTTTTAAGAGTGTATGGGGAACTGAAACTTTCTCAAAGAGGTTATGTTTGACCCCCTGGCCTCCCTCTGCATCCCTCTGTCCCCAGCCACAGCACCTCGTCCCAGGCTCTGGGTGTCACCACAGGGCTTTGATGGCTCACACATGGGCTGCTTCCTGTACTACTTCCTGTGGTTAATGGGGGAGAGGCTGGGCCAGGACTGTCTCTAGAAAAACACAGGGGATGTGACTGTTTGCGTGCACACACACACACACACACACACACACACACACACACACACACACACACACACTTTTTATTAAGTAACTACTATGTACTTCATTTAATTTAGTCATTTAATACAATGCACTTATTGTGTAGATACATATATTTACATTGTATCAAATACTTTCATGTAATTTTTTCTTTTTTGTCTGGTACCCAAAATGGTAGGTAAAGAAATGAGCACTCAACATGTCCGCTGACAAAGACAACACATAGACCAGAGAGCGCAAGGCCTGAGTGAACTTGAACCGCACGCTCACACAAAAGACAAGATACTCGTTTTTTCTGGTACCCAAAACCTGTTAACAGCAAGTCTTGTCCTTCACTGCATTTTTTTGTCTAGCACCCAAAACTGTATTCAGAGTCGTCAGAGGCAGACAGAGGAAGAGCAGAAAGCAGAAGATGGAGTGATTGTAAAATGAGCAGAGTTTATTGAATAATCTTTGTTGCATGTGTTTCAATGTTCAGTCAAACTTCGTCTGACCAGCAGAAATAAAACAGATTTTTTTCACAAGTAATAGCAATGGAAACATCCTCCAGTGATGTCATAAACTTGAAATTGAGACATTCTCTTATCTCTAACATGCTTGCAAAGACAACACAGCACACAACATAAGACTAAACCATAATTGAAAAATATTATGAGATAATACAAAATATAGAATGAATGATCAATGTCTGAATCAATGGTTTAAAAGGATTATGATTAAATGATAAATGATTATAAATGATAGAATGAACATAAAAAAACAACGTAAATGTATGATTGCTTTCTTGAAGCAACACGCACACAGGTTGCTACAAAGAATCCTTAAATCCTTCAGCTCTCATGCAGTACCTAGAGAATGAGTATCTTTTTGGCTGGTGAGTACATGGCACTCCAGCTAAGGCGATTCTCTTAATGTCCTCCTGCTTGATGCCCAAGTTAGAGGTTTTTGTTGTGCCAGAGATCTGTCCCTTCACTGGCCCTTCCTGGGGAACAAACTTTAATGAAAAGAGAAGAGTAAAGATAAAAGAGGCCTATAACACTCAAAACCATAAACTAGAGCAGTGATGGACAATTCCAGTCCTGGAGGACCACTGTACTGCATCAGTTTAGCTCAATCCCCAATCAAACATACTTGAAAAACCCAACAAAAGTCTAAAGGATTGTTTGAAAATTACAGGCAGGTGTGTTTGATTAGGGATGGAACTAGTTACAAAGATCACCCATAACCAGGTATGCACATAAGTTTTTCAGTCTGGTTCTTATGAGAGCACCTGGAGATTTGGTTTGGTGCTCACACTGCACTTAGTGTGACCCACTAAATATAATGCTAATATTTACATTTTATTTCTTTTTTACTTTTTTATTTGTTATATGTATTTTCATCACTTTCAAACTTAAAATCAGTAAGCTTTTATTTTGGCGAGTCACTGGTTTTAACACTGCTATATGAAGCGCATCAGTGAATGAAATGTCACATTTTTGTTTAGTTTTTTTCCGATATCGGCCACGCAGCCTAGATTTATGCTTTGAGTTAAAACAGAAATTTTAAACAATACTAAAGTTAGTTGATCTAAAACAGTAATTTGTACATTAGCAGCTGTCAACCATGTCGGTACACAAATGAGTGGTCTGAATTTATCCAACACATTTTTTCATTTTGGTTGTGCATGTGCACCTATTCACCACTTATGTGCATAACCTCCCCATAACCATTGTACCTTTGAGTGTATCATTTGCCAGATCATGGCGCCATCATTAGAGTATCAGATGGATTCAACAAAAGACTAGAGTGAGAGACTGAGTTTGTGACTACCAGTGCAGCCATCATTTAGGCATGAGAAATGGAGAAGAGGATGAAAAGAAATTGTGTTTTCTGGGGAAGATGAAGAGTGGAAATTTATGAAGTGCATTTGAACCAGGAATGGTGAGTTTTGTAATCGGTGACATCAGGCCAATGAGATATTCTTGGATGCATTTTGAGCTTAGCTTTAAGTGTGACTGAATCTAGTGTTAGCAAAGTTTAAAATAGGGTCGGGCGACAGTAACGAGAAAAGAATTGTCCTCACGTCAGTGATCTTTGGAGGAGGACACTGCTTCAGCTCCTGGTTGCACAGGTCTCTGTAGATGCAGGATTTTGTGGTGTCGCACCAAACGCAGTTATACTTCTGATCAGCGTTCTTACACAGACTGCAGTCCTCACGTCTAACTGAACAGTTGTAGAGCACCACTGGGTAGAAAAGGTGGAAAGACTTAAATAACTGAATCAAAAAAGGTTCCCTTGTCTTTTGGATTTGTAGAGAAATAAAAATTAAACACTGCTGTTTATCACTATGTTTTTGGAAATTGATTTATGCATATTAGGCTATTTACTGTTTTATGTGGTGATTTTTTGAGTCACATTTAGCGCAAAGATTTGTTTTCCAGTTTGATGCTGTGTCAAACTGTCCTGTGGCAGATAAATACTGCTCAGAATATGTAGGCTGACACTAATATATTTTTAAAGATACTGGCCCCTTAAAAAGTGTCAATGTACCATAGTTAGCTACATGTAGTTATTATGTTGTAGCATCACTTACTACATTTTCATAAAGTGTAAATTCTGTAAACTATGATTAATTTAAATGTACCTCTGAGGGTGCTGTCAATCTTCCTGTCCGTGATTTTATCCTTTATGTAGAACGCCACATTCACCTCTGGCTCCTTGTCATATTCAAACTGGCATAAAAATAGTAGAAAGTGTCATTAAACACACACACAGATACAGACAAACACATCACTGCATCTGGAACAACTGTGTGCTGCAGAAAATTCTCCCCTGCCAAAGTGATGTCTTTGTGTTTGTTACGCCCACAGAGGACTGAGCCCAACACACACGTGCAGCTCAATAGCTGTGAATGCCATATTGTTTGGTGCTCAAACTCCAGAAACAAATCAATGTGTGAACAGAGAAGTAGAAAGTGAGGAAGACATAATAGGAGGAATACGATTGGAGCATACTGACCTCAAATCCCTCAAATCTGTACTTTGACCCATCAGCCTCCACAGTCACCTCGCCCACCTGTTTCATGAGCTCAGTGCCGATCTGAAAGGTTTTCCCCTGAGAGAGATGAAGAAAGAGTAATGCTGTTTATGCAGACTCTAATAACAATAAAAAATCATGCTGACAAATTGCCTCACTGAGATATTGGGTAAATATATTTCTTTATTGCATCTTTATAGCTCACCTAAATATTTTATTCTGATTGGTCGATGGTTCTGTAATAATATCTAGTTGTTGCTAGTAATATTTTACTATATTGCCATGTACAAAGGTCAAATCAATTTACATATCATTTTCTAACTGGACATTATCTGTCAAGTTTACAGACATTTACTTTAACACTACACTCAATGCAATGCGTACATCTAAATATGTGTAAAATACCTGTGAAAAAATAAATATGGAACATTCTTGCATATTACCATATGGACCATTCAAAATCATTTTAATTTAAATAAATCAATATCATACCTCAATTTATGTACAGTATTTAATAAGAAGCAGTGTAAAAAGCCAGATAACACATAGCCAGTTGGTCATTATTACAAAATAAACCCCTTCAGGAAGATACAAGGCCATCCCAATCACCTTTTTTTGACATATTATCCAACTGACTGTACATTATCCATTACATATCTTAATATATATATATATATATATATATACTCCAGGATATTGCCTGCATGCATTTTAAATACTATTATACTAAATGCAACAAAAACACAATGTACAATAAGTAATGCATGTACTTTACCAAATATTTATCCAGATTTGTGCCCTGAAATTGGATGGGGTTTTTAATTCCAACAGGAATAAGCAGGGGTTCTGGGATCTCAAACTGAGGACACCTGTCATCCTGCAAGAATCATAGAAAAAATTTTTTTTTAAATAAAACTGTTATTATTCCTCTTTTGTCACCAAAGATGATGGCTTACCATATATTAAAGCACAAACAGTCATATTAATTTATATACGCATACATTCATCCTAATATGACTCACCTGCATGTGTTGAATGATATGATCACCCTTGACAGTGTCATCTCTATCACTGCATGTGTGATCCTGAATATTCCATTGGCAGCCCCACTTACTGGTCACACATGCAATGCATCTGCAGAACACAAAACCGGCCAATCAAAAGACAAATCTAAATAAATGCTACATGGAGTACACATTTTTAACATTTTTAAAATGGCCTGATACTTACGGTGTATTCTCCGATCTCTTTACCACGACTGCACAGTTGTAGAACTCAAATGCACCAAATGCCACTTCAATGCCGTCGTTTATTTGGTACATCACTGGCACTGCCACAAAATCTACATGAATGCATATGGGAAATAGGAATAATATCAGCTTTACAGCGGTAGTAATTCAGGAGTTATTAAAAATACAATTCGTCAGCCAATGAACTTCAAATGCTCAACAGGTTCTAGCAACAGCAAGGTCATGGGTTTCATTCCCAAGGAAAGCACAGCTTGATAAAAGTAACTCTAGAATCAATAAGTTAAACTTCAGAATCTATCTGCTAATAGATTCAGCTTCAGTGTAATTGTTTCATCTGATAAGTCTCCAAACATGAAGAAATGAAAACCCATTTATGTTTGATGTCACTTTTGGCATTCTGTGAGACAAAGACTCACTGTTCAGTGAGTAAAGGAGGCTGCGAGAGGACGGCTTCATAGTAGGGGATTATTAAAGTTAAAGGCAAACAGGATGCTCTCACCTTCTGTCTCCGGTATGGGTGGTATGTACTCAGAGATTGGGAGATCACAGATGAACCCTGAGTTTTCCATTGTTACCTGACTGCAATAGTCACCAAACACACATGTAAGTCTATCAGGACTGCTGATACTGGTGAGGGAGGGGATGCCAATCATCACCTGCAAGTTTAAACCAGAAAATAAGGATTTAGGAGAAAATAAAATATGTGAAAAATACCAGTTCTCAAAACTTTTTAACATTAAATATATGAGGATTATTGGATTGGGGTTTTTAAATTCTGAATATTGACAAAAAAGTAATTAATTATTACATACTTAAAACATAATGATGATGATGATGATTATAAATATTATTTACTTTTTTTCAATCACTTAATACAATTTTATTGATTTCCATAGCTTTTCCAGTTCTGGAAATCAAAATTTAAAAATTCCATGACCACTTGAGACAAATATAAGAAATGCATGAAAAGTGCTCTGTGCATTCATGTAATATGATATGATAGTTTCAGACGCCTTGTTTAGTTCTTCATTTCAGCTCTTGCAAAAAAGGATTAGACTCTCAGACTGGATCTGTTACAGTCAATAAATATCAATCTTGAGTCAATCATTAAAGAGGTTAGGGTTTGAAATAACTGCAGACCATATCACAGTGTGTGTGTTTGTGTACGAGTTATGCTTTAGTACCTGTGAATTATATGTTTTCTTCCAGCTGATGTTGGGGGGCTCAAAGGACTGAATAGTTAGACATGTTTGTTTTGGACTCCACAACCAGACATTCTCTCCTTCTCCTTTGCGACAATCCTTTTTCCTAGTACAACTGCAGGAGAAAAGCAGACAATCAGCCATTCGCTTTAACTGGACTGCACGCAGATATCTATTACATAGCACTTGCTAAAATGTAATGGAATAAAATTATGCCATATTTCAGAGAATAAACCATTTCAAAATGGAATTTCTAAACAGTTTTCTGTTCTAAAACATAGGTTATTAGGATGGATGTCACATGATCCACAGGAGCCATAGTTCTTAGTTTATTTGTCAGTAGAAATATTAAATTCTATTGTAGTTTGGCAGTGTTATTAATTGCCTTATTTGGCAGTGTTATTAATTGGTAATAAAATGAGTCTAACAGACTTACCGGCCCTCCAGCACACACCAGCCACAGAATGGGTCCCGCTGGGACACACATGATTGACAATCAGTTTTCTGCTCACAGGCCTGTACTGGCACTTTGGTGAGCTACACAAAAGAGAAGCAAGAATCAAGATAACAAAATGTCTCAGGTTACTTATGTAACCTGGTTCCCTGAGAAGTCATGATGTCAATGCTATGGGCACACTTCCAGTCTGAAGGAAATGGTGAATCGAGCCCGTACAAGAGATCTGTCTGGATGGGAATCTCCCAGAGAACGCTGTCTAGGAGAAATATTAGGTCCGAGAACCAAACTTGGGCTAACAGAGCTACAAGCAACAGACCTATTTTGTCTGGGTGTACCCTTGCTAGAACTCCTGTGAACTGAACTATCAGGGGAAATGCATAAAGGCCTTGCTCGCTTCAAACCAAGCAGCTTGATTTCAAACTTTATATTGAATTTATTTCAGAAAAAAAAAAACAAGTAAACAGTCGGCAATTAAATAAGAACAAATAAAAAAAAATAGGAGCAATATCACAAATAAACAAATATATCACAAATATCTAAATAAATAGAACAGAAAAAATATACAAATTAAATAAACAGTGCAAGTTTTTCAGGTAGGTCTAACAGTAGTATTCAGGTAAAGAAATACTACAGAAATTGAAAAAGTAATCAAATGTGAAATAACATTGGATAATCTTCACTCTATAAATAGAATTTTATAAATTGTAAAAAATAAAATAGAATTTGATAAATTTGATAAAATCAAGAAAATACAATTACCCTGCCTCCTTGTCTATTTATTTAGATGATTTTATACATATCTGGCTGACTCTACCTTTGATTGGAACCATGATTGTTGCATTTTATACTTCAATGGTTGAGTATTATTTGCCTTAGCATTTTTGTTTATTATAAAAAGAAACCAAATAAATTTAATTGATTATAAAAACTGCTTATCAAGGACATAATACAAAGAAGTCTTCTGACCAAGTTGGAAGTAATTTGAACTGCTTATAATTTAGACTACTCGACTTACTTTACCTAACCTGAGAAGAAAAACATTAAAGGAGTCATATGATGCTTTTTTAAAGATCATTATTTTGTGTATTTGGTGTAACAGAATATGTTGACATGCTTTAATGTTCAAAAAACACATTATTTTTCAAATACTGTAAATTATTGTAGGTCCTCTATGCCCCGCCTCTCTCAAACACGTAGTTTTCAACAAAGTCCCCTCCTTCCGACAAGCACAGTCTGCTCTGATTGGCCAGCTGACCCAGTGCATTGTGATTGGCCGAACACCGCAAGCACTCGTCGGATATGTAACGCCCCTTACCATAATCGCGAGCTTCATCTTTCAAAATAAATGTAAAGACAGTAAATAATGTCATTAGTTTTACCATCAGTTCAAGCCCGAAAGGGGAACAGAGTGACAGACACAGTGATGAAGCTGGTATGTGTTTGCAGTACACAAGCCACGGTTAAGACAGCTGACTCCACTGTGATGTGACCCTGTCTCTCTCTC